GGGGGGGTGGGGGGTGGGGTTGGGGGCCCCCCTGTAGCTGAACGTAGCAGCAGCGAAACGATATCAAATGAAACCCCTTGAACTATAGCTGATGCTGCTGCTGCTGCTGCTGCTGCACCAACGATCACAGACATAGATGAACGCACGTGCAGGAGAAGAGACGCCTTGCTGGGATTTAACAGGAAATATCTTTGCTGCTGCTGTGCTGTTAAGAAAAGCAACTCTTTCTAATTCTCATCTTTCATGCATGCATGCATGCATGCAGAGGGTGTTGGGGGGGCCTCCGCTGCAGGTGCACGTGCAGCACAAGCAGCACGAGCAGCAGCAGCAGCAGCAGCAAAAAATAAAAACGTGGTTGCTGTTGCTGCTGCTGCTGCTGCAGCAGTTGGAGGCCCGTCCATCCCCAAAGCTTCCTGCAGCACTGATGCTTTTTTGTCTCTTTTTCTGTCTCTTTCTTTGTTTGCTTCTCTGCGCATCTGTTTATTTCCTCGGCTGTACGTACACCTGCTGCTGCGGCAAACAAACACAGAAAGGGCCCTCAGGGGTTGAGGGAGACAGCCCCCACACATAGCTGCATGTGTATAAAGCTGTCTAACTGCATTTTCTGCGCGAGGAGACACCTACTTAATTGTCTCTAACAACCCACACGCGCAGCAGCAGCAGCAGCAGCAGTAGTAGTAGCAGCAGCAGTAGCAGCAGCAGCAGTAGTAGTAGTAGCAGCAGGAGCAGCAGCAGTAGTAGCAGTAGTAGTAGCAGCCGCAGCAGCAGCGCAGCACGCAGCAGCAGTGCCGCTGCTGCTGCTGGGACCGAAAAGGAGACAGCTGCTCAGCAGGAGCAGTATATTATATAATGATGCTGCTATATACATATATATGTATATATGTATATATATGTACATATATATATAAGACAATGTAATAAATGTAATATAATGCAATATAATCTAATATTCTTAAATATAATACAGCAAAAAATCATATAATATAGTGCCGTACACTGTAATATACTCAATGCAAAGTACAATAATATAAGTGATATGGTGTAATATAATAAAATATTAGGTAAAGGAGAAACACGTAGGAAAGACCTAAAACAAAAAGAGCATCTCAGAAAGCAGCAGCAGCAGCAGCAGCAGCAGCAGCAACAGCAGGAGCAGCAGCAGGCTCTCTTCACCCCGTGCCTCTACTAGCCCCACTTGCTGTTGCATGCATGCAGCAGCAAGTCTATTATGGGGTGGAATGCGCATGCGCGGGAAGTTCCATGCATGCATGCATATATGAAAGGCCTACTTGGAGGAGACAGGAGACAAGAAGCCTAGGTCTCCTTCTTTAACTGAAGGCAGCCATGCATGCGTATAATATAATATATTTTATTATATATATTTATATGTATAGAAAGAATAAAATAAGTAATTTATAGAGTATAATGAATCTTGCTAGCAGCACATGAGTCTGGGGAGACTGTTGCAGAGAAGAGACAGATAAAGAGACAGCTTGCCGCAGCACCTATATGCTGGTCCTACTGCTGCTGTTGCCGTAGCAACAGCAACTACTGCTGCTCCTCTTGCAGAAGCAGCTGCAGCAGCAGCAGCTGCAGCAGCAGCAGCTGCAGCAGCAGCAGCTGCTGCTTTAGCTGCTGCTGCAGAGCGACAGCAACCCCACATGTATGGATGAATACACCGTACGCACACCGCAGCGAAGACGGCAGCAGCAACTAAATATCCCCTTATCTCTCAGCAGCAGCCCCACGCTATGCATGCAATTAAAATGCATAAGACAGGAGACTGTCTCCTTGCTCAGGGGCCCTATTAAAAAGGAGACAGCTAAACGTTTTGCTTCCCCCCCACTTCTCCCCAAGGTGAGGGCCCCTGTGCGCCCTCGAGACACCCTAGCTCCAAACCCTAAACCCTAAACCCCCGGACAAACCCCTGCATGTTGTTAATAGGGTTTAGGGCCCCTCCGTTGCTGCTAGGTGTTTCTTCTCTCTTGGGGGGCCCCTCGTATAAACAAATATTGTACTTTGATTATTCTTCTGCTGTCTAATGCTGCAGAGTCCCTAAGGAACTGCTATTTCTAACATCATCACTAGGGGGGCCTCCCTCTTCCATCATGGGGGCCCCCTCTAAGGGGCCCCCCCCTAATCAAGGGGCCCCCCTGAGGGGCCCCCCGTTAGGGGACCCTCGAGGCATCTCGCAGGTCGCTGGGCTTCTCTGAGAAGGAAGTTGCTGCAATATATACAAAATAATATTCTTTTTTATTTTTATTTTAGTTTTTATTGATTAGAAAAGGGTTTGAAAAGGAAGACGGGAAGAAAAAGGTATCTTTAAGTCTACTAGTGATATATTTATTGTCTTTGTCTGTCCTTTTATAGCATTATAGAGACATTAAAGAAGAAGTACTCCTTTTCTTCTTTCTTTATTTTCTATAAACACCAACATAAATTGACAAGGCCCCTATGAGGCCCTTCTGGGGGCCCCCCTCCTTCAGCTTCTCTTCTCACACCGCAGCAAGACTCTTAACTAAGAGGGCCCAGCGCTTCTTTACTAGTTGCTTACCCGATAGAGAGCCTACAAGGGGGCCCCCCCATGGAGGGGCCCCCCCAGTAGAAGGGGCCCCTGATGGGGGCCCCCCCCGCATTAACAAGCGTTCCCTAAGAGGGGCCCCTGTGCAGGAGGCCCCTTCTCAGGGGGCCCCTGGTATGGGGGTTTCATCTGGGGGCCCCCCTACTCCTGGAGGTTTCTTATATGAATCTGAAGGCCTTAGTTCCTCTAAAGTGAGGGGGGCCCCTATAGAAGAAAATTACACCCTAGAGGAGCAGCACCGTCTCTTTAGCGACGAGTTTAATGAGGCCCCTGCACCTATTGATGAGTTTGGAGCTCCTTCTTATAGGCCTTCTGTCAAGGCAGACCTGCGAAGGGGCCCCAGGGGGGCCCCCAAGGGGGCCCCCGTGGGGGAAAATAAGGGGGAACTTATGGGGGCCCCCCTTGGGGGCCCCAGGGGGGCCCCCGCCCTTGGGAAGTCCCCACAGTTCGGGAAGCCGCGCTTTAATGTGAGGGGCTTGCAGGATGAGGAGGCCCTGCACCAACCTTCTCTGTGGCAGCAGCTGCTGCAGCAAGAGAAGGAGAGACGCATGCAGAGACAGGCTCAAACAGCTCGTCGGACAACCCGAGTGTTAGCTGCTGCTGCTGCTTCTGCTGCTAGTGGTGGTGCTGCTGCTGCTGGTACTGGAGCTTGGGGGCCCTCTCTGGGGCCCTCTAGCGCTGTTGAAGGCAAGGGCCCCTCACTAGGACCTCCTTCATCTGCGACGGAGACAGCAGAGACACCCCAGGCAGCAGCAAGGGGGGCCCTCCCTGATTGGAGAGACCTCTCAGGTCTTCAGGCGAGCTGGGAGGTATCAGCAGAGATAACGCATTCACAAACCAGCTCAAACGAGGCAATGCAGCAACAAAAGGGGGCCCCCGGGGGGGCCCCCGAGACCCTGGGGGCCCCAGAAGGCCCTCCACTGCCTCCAGACCCATTCCAAGATGACCCAGATCTCGATCCCGTATCCGGAGGGGGCCCCCCTGAGGGGCCCCCTGTGGGGCCCCTGCAGGATCGTGAGGGGCCTCTTGATGTGCGGCTTGGGGGGCCCCTTGGGGGCCCTTTAGATGGCCGCCCAGCAGCTGGAGAGGGTTCTGAGGCGGAGTTGATAGAGACAGAAAGCCCCATTGCTAGGGCAACGCATGCAGCAGGGATGCCGCGGGGTGTATGGGAGCGGCTGTCTCCTCAGCACCTGCATACGCAGCAGCAGCTGCTGAGAGCGAAGACCCCAGAGGCTGTACTTGAGGCTGTTGCTGCTGCAGCAGGAGCCGTTGGGGGCCCCTTTGCTGTGGGGCCCCCCGGTGTCTCCTTCATGCCCAGCACCAAGGAGGCCCACTCACCTTCTCGTGCCTCTGACGCAGACGCAAGCGCAGCTCCTGCTGCTGCTGCTGCTGCTGCTCGGCTGTCTCGGGTGTTTGGTCTGGATTGGGTGAATGCAGCAACGGCGGTGCATAGGCTGGGGCGCCTGGTGTCTCCTCCTTCGCGGGCCTCTCTGTCTCTAGACTCACGCTTTGTGCTGCTGCTGCAAGCTGCACAAGCTGCTGTCCCTTTGCTTGATGCCCAGGGGGCCTCCAACATGTTGTGGGGCCTCACTCGTCTCGAGCAGCCTCCTCAATGGCTGCCGGAGTTGCTGCTGCGCTGCAGCCAGCTGTCTCCTCAGCTGTCTCCCCACCAGGTAGCTACCTGTCTCTATTGTCTTTCACTAATACCTGGGGGCCTCTCTTCTCCTGAGGGGAGGGCCCTTTATGGGGCCCTTTTGGGGGCGGCACTTCGGGTGTCTCCTCAGCTGCAGCGGCCCCTGGACCTTACCTGCATTTGCTGCTCCTTGAGTAGGTTAAAGGTAAGGGAGGCCCCCCTTTGGGGGGCCCTGGTTGTGCGCGCGAAGGGCCTGCTGCAGCAGCTGTCTGTCTCCGAGTTGGCTTCTGTCTCCTGGGCGTTTGCTGCTGCTGGCGTTGTAGACAAGGGCCTTTTTGCTGCAGTGCAGCGCCGTGTGGAGACAGAAGGAGACACTTGCTCCTCAGGAGACCTTGTTCAGTTTGCCTGGGCCTTCTCTAGGGCCCTTAAGGACCCCCAAGACCTTTTTGATTATACTCTGACTCCCCTAATCAGAAGCTGTCTCCCCAACCTCAACGCCAGACAACTCGCTACCCTTGCCTCAGCATACGCACAAGCAGGTATGCAAACCACTCATCCTCTGGGCTTGTACACCCTACTGGGGGCCCCTAAAAGCCCCTTTGAGGGCCCCTAAAGGTCCCCTTGGGGGCCCTTAAAAGGCCTCTTGAGGGCCCCGAGGAGGCCTCTTGGGAGCCTCTTGCGTGCCCGTTGAGGGGCCCCAATTGGGCCTCGTAAGGCTTTCGAGGGGCCTCTATAGGTCACCGAACACTTCTGTGTCAGGGCCTTTTGGGGGCCCTGTGGGGCTCCCTAAGGTCTCTGAGGGCCTCTTGGGGGTTCTGAAAGTGTCTCCAGAGACGCCTTGGGGGCCCCCAAAGGCCTCTGATGAGGCCCTATGGGGCCCTCACGGGCCTTCTAGGGGTCTCTGCCCCTTTCTGCTTCCCCCTAGGGTAGATTGCTGGGTTTAGCTATTGCTGTAGTGTGTGTTTAAGAATAAAGACGCTGGTGTCTCCTTTAGTTGTTATGTTTGCGTCTTTTGAAGTATATTGTTTAGCGTTGGAGGGCGTTTGGAGACAGTCTCCTTTTGTGGGGTTTGCTGCTGTTGCTGGTGTTGCTGCAGGAATAGAAGATATGGATTTTCTTGGGGACCTGAGTCTAACTTTGCTGCCTCATTTGTCTGGTTTGGGGCCTCAGCAGCTGGCTGCTGTCTCTGCTGCATTTGCTGTATTAGGGTACAGCAACGAGGAGTTTGTTAATGCCCTTGCGCAGAAGGTTGTTTTATCTTTACCTGCCTTCTCCGCTAGACAGCTGGCGAAGGCGGTGTATGGCTTAGGGACTGCGGGGTGTACAGACACCAGGGCTCTGGATTGCTGCTGCACTGCTCTGCAGCAGCGGCTACATGCACTGTCTCCTGGGGCTATCACTCAAGCCCTTATGGGCCTCTACGAAGCAGAGTATTTGTCTCATCGTGGAGTGCCTCTGCTGCTGACAGCAGTGGGGAAGAAGGTGGAGTTTCTGTTTGCTGAGGATTGTGTGCAGCTGCTGCTGCTGCTGAGCAAGGTCCCTGCTGCATCAGCAGGACAGCACCAGCAGCTGCAGCAGCAGCTGCAGCAGCAACTGCACAAAAAGCTACGCAGCCACTGGTGCTTAGACTGCCGCAGCCTCTGCGATCTGCTGCAGGCGCTGCTGCTGCTGCGGCTGCAGGACCCTCAGCTGCTGGAGCTAACAATGAGGCGGTTGGCTTTCTTGCTGCAGGGGGCTTCCTCTAGGGAGTTTTTGCGGCTGTTGGGCTGCTTTGCTGCACTGCAGCAGGAAGAGAGGCTGCTGCTGAGGACCCATATCCATAGACGTCTTAAGATACAAGCTGCGGTGTCTACGCAGCTGCAGCAGATTGCTGCAGTGCAGCTCGATGCTGACTCCACTGCTGCTCTCCTCTTCGCCTGCGCACAAATTGGATTCGCCGATGAGGCCCTCCTCAAGTGAGACCCCACACTTATATAGACAGAGATAGAGATAGAGACAGAGATAGAGACAGAGATAGAGGTAGAGACAGAGGTGAAGATAGAGACAGAGACAGAGGTAGAGATAGAGACAGAGACAGAGATAGAGATAGAGATATAGACAGAGGTAGGGGTAGAGACAGAGATAGAGACAGAGACAGAGGAGAGACAGAGATAGAGATAGAGACAGAGGTAGAGATAGAGACAGAGACAGAGGTAGCGACACAGATAGAGATAGAGGTAGAGACAGAGATAGAGATGGCGAAAGACAGACAAAGAGACGCAGAAGAAGGAGACAGTCAAAGAGTGGCTGCAGCAGAGACACAGGAGACAGTGAGACTGTAGATGCAGCAAACAAGAGGGAGACGCTGATAAGAGAGACAGGCAATGCAGGCGACAGAGTTGGATAGAGGGCGTAGTTGATAGAGCCTTGAGCAGAGACAGTTTTGGCCTGCTGCTGGTGTCGTGCTGCTGTTGCATTGCTGCTGCTGCTGCTTCTGCTGCTGCTGCTTCTGCTGCTGCTGCTGCAGAATGGCTGATGGGCTGCAGCACAAGTTGGAGACAGAGGGGGAGGTGCTCTCACTGCCGTCTCTTTGTCATCTTCTTTGGGCCGCTACAGAAGTAAGGAGACAGCCTAAAAAGGCGTTCATTGCTTCTTTGTCTTTCTCGCCTTGTGGGGCCCCCAACGTGTTGCTGTGCAGCAGCAGCAGCAGCTGCTGCTGCCGCTGTTGTTTCTTGGGGTTTGTGCTGAGCCCTCGTGCGTACAGCTGGCTGCCGAGGGGTGTGAGGCCTCAGTGTCTCCGGAGTGTCTTTACATTCAAAGGGCTGCTTCTGCTTCTGCTGCTGCTGCTGCTGTTTGCTGCTGTCTCTTCAGATACACTTCAGCCTCGGCTGGACTCGGAGTGTTCTGCGCTACTTCTTGACGCGCCGCTATGGGGCGAAGGAGACAGCAGCCGCAGCAGCAGCAGCAACACCATCAGCAGCAGCAGGTGCTGCTGCTGATGCTGCTGATGCTGCTGATGCTGCTGCTGCTCCGGCTTCAGAGGCCCCTGTCTCCTTCCTAGCAGAAGACGAGAGAGACGCCTTCTGCGAGGCCAATGGCCTCGGGCCCTACAGAGGCGGAGAGGTCCTCCCTCCAGGCCTAGGTCAGGGGGCCCCACAGGGGGCCCCCCACGAACAGAAAGATATCGGTGCTGTGGGTGGGGCCCCCGAAGCTGTAACGCTGGCTGAGAGTCTGTTGAGGGCAGCCTTTGCGTGCATCTCCCTCGGCGAGGAGCAGTACCTGCTGCCTCTCCTAGAAGAAGTTGCCAGGTGCTGCTGCCGTTGCTGCTGCTGTTGCTGCTGCTGCTGATTTTGCTGACCTTGCAGCTGCTGCTGCTTCTGCTTGTGCTCCTGCTGCGTTAGCTGCTGCTGCTCGTGTTTTTTCTCCGTTTGCCTGTGCTGCTGCTGCGCCTGGAACATCTGCTGCTGCTGCATCGGCTGCTGCTGGTTCTAGTGGTGATGTTGCTGTTGCAGTGTCTGCATCAGCAGGCTTTGTGTGGGGTGTGGGGTGTACATGCATGCAGTCTGTACGGGGATCGATTACCACTGGATCTGCTGCCGGCGCAGCAGGTTTGTCTGCACTTCTTGCGATTTGCAGGGCCCTCTGTAGGGGGGCCCCCCTCTATGCAGCTAAAGGATTGGATGGCTTCAGTCTTGAGGGCCCCCCGTTATGATGTCTTCTACAAGGGGGGCCCCCGCAATAAGTATGGTCTTGGTGGCAGTCGCATGCGCGTTAAGGATTATAACTATGATGCATGGCTATCCGAACCTCTCATTCAGGTGTGCTTCTGCTGCTGCTGCAGCTTGGGCTGCTGCTGCTGCTGCATCTGCTGCTGCTGTATCTGCTGCTGCTACTGTTGCATTTGCTGCTGCTGCTGCTGCAGCTGCTGCTTCATCTGCTGCTGCAGTTGTTTGTTCTTTTCTGCTGTCTCCTTTTAAATGGGTGCAGATGAGGATACCCCACAAAGCAATATTTGTTGTAGGAGACATCTATAGAGTTAGCGTTGCCTTCCCAACTGAGAAACATCTTATTGATGTGCTGACCTTCCAGGCAAGCCCCTCTAAACCCTACACCTAAACCCTAAACACTAAACCCTAGACCCTAACGTGTTAATTCTAAGCAATGAACCCTAAGGAAGAAGCTCTAGACACCACGCCCGTATCAGTAATTCGTAAACAACTCTACACAATAAACCCTAAACCCTAAACCGTAAACAGTAAACCCTAAATTTTCGTCTTCTACTCCTTCTCTGTCTGTGGGTGGCTTGGTGCGTACAAATGGAACTTGCATGCATGCATGCATGCATGCAAGGGGATAAGAATGGCGCATGCGTGCATACATGCATGTATGATAGAGACAGATATGAATGAAGCGTGCATGCATGCACTCTCATGTGCATCATGCATGCATGCATGCATGCATGCAAATTTGAATAGGATATGAAAAGGGCATGCACACATCCTTTCCTAAACGCATCCTTTCCTCTATGGATGCATGGATGCATGCATGCATGCAATAACGCTGCCTTCTTTTCGTAGGACCTGTTGGCTCCCTCTGGCAAACCGACGGCAACAGCGGAGCTGCGGCAGCGCCAGCTGACGTTTTTAGGTGAGTTTAGGGTTTAGGGTTTAGGGTTTATTGCTTAGGGTTTAGAGCCTTGCCTTAGCTTCATAACAAGGGAAAGAGTTTAGGGTTTAGGGTTTAGGGCGCTGCTCGCTTTAGCTTCATAACAAGAAAAAGGGTTTAGGGTTTAGGGTTTAGCTGCTCGCTCAACTCCATAACAAGAAAAAAGGCCTTAGGTTTTTCTTTGGTGTTTGCTGCGCCTTCACAGTGCCTGTTGCCCTCACTGCTAAATGCATCGCTTAAAGCCTGTATCTTTATTTGTTTAGAAAGAAGTACAACCAGTACATTATACCTATACATATATATTATATGCGTATATGTGCAAATATATATATATATATATATGCTTGTATAAGGCGTATTTTTATACAATCCATATACATATATAACATATATATGTATGCATATGTTATATACATGAACATATATAGATACATATAACATATATATATATATATATATATAACTTTTTTCTGGTATTGCCTTTAGGGTGGACGGTGCATTCAGTGCATCTGAAGGCCCTTTACTCCGCTGTTGTGGATCGCAACCTCCGCAGTTTTGTCGCTAAGATTGCAGCAGCCTGCTGCCCCCAAGCAGAAGCTTTCGCCTCCTTCTCACCGCAGCAGCAGCAGCAACAACAACATCAGCAGCAGCAACAGCAGCAGCAGCAGGGTGGGGGAACGGGAACGGCCTCCTCTGTAAGCGCTTTATTGGGGGCAGATTCCCTCGAGGCGCTGCCTTCTCTTCAAGTGAGGCGGGCCCCACGCACTTAGCTCGTTATCATTGATAGGCTGTGGCTGTTGCATGCATGCGGGGCTTTCTTTATTGGAGTGTTGGATGCATGTGGGTTTTATAGGGATGCTGCACGCATGCGGGGCTTTGTAGAGGTGCTGCATGCATGCGGAGCTTTATAGGGATGCTGCATGCATGCGGGGCTTTTTCTATGTCTTCTGCCTGCATGCGGGGCTTGATAGATGTGTTGCATGCTTGCATGCATGCATTAAATCGAATTCTTTATGATGCATGCATGCACTGCACAGGGAGGGCGATTTGAGCCTTTTGAGCTCGTAGATGACGTTGAAGAAGAAAAAGGAGACAGCCATCTTCGGGTGTGTAGGGGGCCCCTGCGCGGGGTGTCTGCTGCTAGTGGGCCCCCAGCCAGCCCCAGGGGGCGGCCCCCAAGAAGCATGCAAGAGGGAGGTAGCCTTGGTGGTGGAGCACCCGGAGAGGAGACAGCTGAGGAGACAGCAGAAATGCGGGAGGCCCTCGCTGCAGATGCAGAGGGGGCTCTTGCTGCTCTCGAGGCATTGCAGCAAACCTATGGCTTGAATAATAGCCAGTGATGCTTTCTTTTTGTCTCTGTTGCTCCTGCTGCTGCTGCTGCTACGATGTGTCTCCTTTCAGCCGCGCATGCGGAGACAGCAACAAACAGAAACAAACTGCAATTGCTGCAGTGTGATGCATGCACTGGTGGTTTTGTTTTTCTGTTGCGCTTCTTCGCGGTATATCGATTCCTATTATATATATCTAATATATATATATATATATATATATATATATGAGACAAGCAGAGACAGAGATAGAGACAGACAGAAAGAGAGGGAGGCAGAGAGAGAGAGAGGGATGCCTAGGAAACGATAGAGAGAGATACAAAGAGACAAAGGACAGGGACGGAAGGAGACAGAGACAAAGGTAGAGACAGAGACAGTTAGGAAGAGACAGTGATACATATAGACGGAGACAGAGACAGATATGGAGACAGAAGCAGATAGACGGAGACAGCAGCAGGAGTTAACTGGGCCTTTAAAGGAGACACTTAAAATTAGAGGGCCCCTTTTGATTCCATCTGTCTCCTTTTGTCTCCTCCGCTTCACTGTCTCCTCCCCGCTACCTAAGGCCCACAGCACAACAACTGGGGCTGCATGCGTGCATGCGCTTTCCTTCTTTCAATTTGTTATTACAACCACGAAGACATCGCACCTAAAGAAATTCGTCCGAGTGTCTCCCTGTCTAGGGACTCAGTTTGTCGTTTGCTGTTTCCAAGCTTCGCAGCAACGGCTACTCAAATGCTGTTGCTGCTGCTGCATTGGCAGCACGTAGCAGAGGGGCGCAGGCTGCCCTTGCTGCTGCTGCCGCTCCTGCTGCTGCTGCGGCCGCTGCTGCTGCGACCACTGCTGCTGTAGCAGCAGCAGAAGCAGCTGCTGCTGCTGCTGTTACTGCTGCTGCTGTTGTTGTTGCTGCTGCTGTTGCTGCTTGTGCTGTTCCTGCTGTTGCTGCTGCTGTTGCTGTTGCTGCAGCAAGTCTGCGTGCTCGCTGCAAATGGTGCGCATAAGTTCTGCTGCAGTGAGCGGCTGCCAGTCGACAGCAAAGACAACGGGAAGGCAAATTGTCCGCTGCTGGGTTTGCTGCTGCATGCGACCTGCTGCTCCTGTTGCTGTCCGAGCAGCAGCAGCAGCAGCAGTAGCAGCAGCAGCAGGTGAAGCACGGCGAGACTGCACTTGGCGGAGGCTGACAGGGCGAATGAGGCCCTCCACTTTTATTTTCCTCCTGCTTTTTATATTAACTGTCTCCCCAGACGACCCTTTACTAAACCTGAGGAGACCCCCTGCTGCAGCGTTGCATGCAGCGCAGCACAGGGCCCCAAATAGCAGGTGGCCAAAGTTGCTGCTGCTGCTGCTGCTACTGCTGTTGCTGTTGAAGAGCAGGTTTTTCGGGTGCTGCTGCTTGTGATGCTGCTGCTGCGCGTCTGCCTGCGCATGCAGCAGCGCTGCAGCACAGGCTTCGAGTGTCTCCCCAATTGAGTAGCAGAGGAGACAGTTAAGATGCTGCAGTAAACTCAGAGCTGCTGCGTTTTGAAGCAGCACGAGCAGCACTCTCCCTGTGCTTGTCTCCTCAAGCGCCACTACAAGGCCCAGCTGCAGGCCTTGGTGTTTGCTGCTGCTGCACTCGCTGCCTTCCTGCTGCTGCAGCTTCATCGCCCCACAGCTGCAGCAGCAGGCACTGTCGCCGCTGCCGCCGCTGCCCCTGCTGCTGCTGCTGCTGCTGCCGCTGCTGCTGCTGCAGCTGCTGCTGCTGGGGGCTGTCAGGCAGCGGCGACACACCCAAGAGAGATGCAGGGCTAGCACCTCTTCTACTGTCCCCTCAAACCAACTGCATGCAGAGGTGTTTATAAAGGGGCGCACAGCCCCCCTAAACGAGAGAGAAGGAGACACGTGGCTGCCCCTCTTGGCCTTTTTGTCTCTGCTGTCTCTGCTGTTGCTTCTGCTGTCTCTTCGATATCTGCTGTCTCTACTGTCTCTGTTGTTTGGGGCCGCGCCTCTACCTTCGCTGTCTCTTCGGGTGTCTCTGCAGGTGCGAGAGCAAACTTCAACTGTCTCCTCACCAACGGAGACACCCCCATGCTGAGCTTGCAAACCCCTTAAAGGAAGCCCAGAAAGACAAGAAGGAGGCACTTTATCAGAAGGAGACACCTTATAAGAAGGAGACAGAGACAAACGCGGGCCCCTTAAAAACAACGGAGGCAGCTGGAGACTCACAGGCACAGCCGCCGCCCCACCAGCCTTTAATGTGTCTCCTTTGTGCGGCGTCCCTATACAATCGCAGCTGCTGCTGCAGCAGCAGCACTTGCTGCTGCTGCTGCTGCTTCTGTTGCTGCTGCTCCAGCGAGGACGACGCATAGCCTTTGGGTAGGACAGCGTGTCTGGGTCTGCTCTGCCAGCTACAGCAGCAGCACTTGCTGCTGCTTCCGCCTCTGCTGTCTCCAAGGGGCTCAGCGGAAGGCCTCCCGGTGCTGCTGCGTAGCGATGCCGCAGCGGCTGCAGCGCGGGGTGGAGACGGGGGGCAGCAGCAGCAGCAGCGGCTGCTGCTGCTGCTGCTGTTGCAGCTGGCCGCGTTGCTGGAGGCAGAATGGGGCCTTCGGGTGCCCTTAAGCACAGAGTATTGTCTCCTTTTTTGAAGGGGACAGGAGCGACGGCTGGGCCCTGCACCTGCTGCTGCGAGCAGAGACACCGTAGAGACAACGCAGCAAAACTGAACCCCACACAGCTGACTTCAGTAGCTGGGATCGCCTCCAAAAGCAACTCCCCAAACACCACCGCTTCCTCCTCCTCGCCCCACAGAGGAAACTTAGCGCCAGCCCGCTGCAGCTGCTGCTGTTGCTGCTGCTGCAGCTGCTGCTCTCCGGTGTACATACAGCTGGAGGCACAACGGTTCCCCCGATACTCCAAAGACGGTGGAGGGCCCACAGACACAGCACTGGCGAGGGCAAGAGACAGCAGCAGCTGCTGCCGCCCCAAGGAGACTGTGGGGCGGAGAGCAGCACTGCAGCGCATGCAGCGCATGAAACGTGCAGCAAAAGGTCTTCCAATCAACCCCTCTCCAACTGTCTCCTCAAGTGCTGCCGCCCAGGCCCTGCACAAAGGAGACACCCAAATGCCCAACCCCTCCCCTGGCAGAGGCCCCAAACAGTGCTTGTCAGCAGCAGCAGCAGCAGCTGCTGCTGCTGCTGTTTCCTCTGCTGCTGATGCTGGTGATGGTGCTGCTGCTCCCGCTTTCCCTGCTGCGGCAGGAGCAGCAGCTGTTGCTGCTGCTGCTGCTGTGGGGACACGAATGCTTCTTAGGGGCTGGGGCCAGGGGAGCGTGGGCCTCAGGCGGAGGAGACAGGGCCCCACATCCACTCGCATGCCCACTTGCAGCAAGTCAAAACGCCCTGCGGAGACAGCTGGGGGAACCCAGAGGTCAACAAAGCCCCCAGTGTCTCCTTCTGTGGGGCCCCCTCGCCAGCTGTCTCTTGAAGGGGGGCCCCTTCGGCAGCAGCAGCAGCTGGGATCGGGATCGTCTCCTCCCACTAAGCCCCGAGGCTTCCTGCCACAAAACCAGGGACCCCCAGCCAACCTGAACGCCAGCAGCACAAACTTCTGCCGCACTCAGCTGTCTGCAGTAGCAGCAGCAGCACTGGCACCAGCAGCAGCTGTAGCACCAGCAGCAGCACGAGAGGCAACAGTAGCAGCAGGAGTAGCGGCAGCAGCAGCATTAGCTGAAGCAGCAGCAGTAGTAGTAGCAGCCGTTGCAGCAACAGCAGCAGCACAAGCACAGACAAGGGCGCTGCTTTAAGGGATCAAGAGCTGCACTAAGGCCCCTGTACACCCCACAAGGCAACCGAAGCTAATACGAAGAAAATAGAAAGAAATCAACTCACCGCACAACGAGCCAGTCTTCGCGACACCTGCTGCTGCTGCTGCTGGCTGCTGCTGCTGCTGCTGCACCTGCAGCAGCTCGCATGGGCACGAGCAGCAAGTCCACCACAAGGAGGCCCTTGAGAGAAATGCGGTGTCTCCTCAGCGACGTCGAAGGGAGACAGCGTTCAGGAGACAGCTGCATTGCTGCACGTTTTTTTGGAGATGTGGGGCCCCACACCCAACCTCCTGCTGCTGCTGCTGCTGCTGTCAACTGCGAGACAGATGCAAACGAATTCCTACTGTCCTCTTCAATAAACCTGCGGCACTCAGCCACCCACCGCGCCAGCACTGAGAGACAGGAGAGGCAGGGTGAGTTAGCAGCAGCAGCAGGTGCTGCTGTTGTATCAGCACGAGTTGCTGCTGTTGCTGTGGCAGCAGCACTAGCTGCCCCTGCTGCTGCTTGTCCTGCAGCAGCAGGGGCGATGCCGCAGAAGCAAAACGGCAGACAGAGACAATCAGCGAGCAGCATCGGTGTTAGTTCTTCTTTTGAAGGCGTGCAGCTGCTAGGGTCGCTGCTGCCTTCAAGCAAAGAGGAGGGGGCCCCCATTAGGGGGCCCCCCCTAGAAATAATTGGGGGGCCCCTGATGCTGTTGGGGGCCCCCGCGAACCCTCTTGCTGCTTCTAGTGAACGCCAACGATGAAAGACAAACGAAGAGATTGGAGGTAGCCAGTCAGCAGAGACTGTTTCCTCCCGCATGCGTTTCTTGCTCGACTGTTGCTGCTGCTGCTGCTTCTGATGCTCCTTGTCCTGCTGCTGCTGCTGGTGCTGTTGCTGTTGATGTTGCTTTTGCTGCTGTTGTTGCTGTTGATGCTGTTTTCGCTGCTGCTGCTGTTGCTGCTGCTTCTGGTGCTGCTGCAGCTGCTGCTCCTTTAGCTGCTGCTTCTGGCGGTGCATGCGTGGGGAAGCGGCTGCCCAGCTGCGCATCTGCATGCGTTCTAATATGGGTTCGGCAAGGGCCTCAGTGAACGTGTGGGGCTGCGGGAGTTGACGATCCCAGGGGACGTTTTCTGCTGCCTGCTGCAGTGTATGTGCAGCAGCTGCTGCGTTCACTCCCTTGTAGAAAGCAAATCGCTGCAGAGCAGCAAACTGCCACGGAGACACCCGAAACGTCACCTCGCGCCCAACGCCCCAGGGCCTCCCCACGCTGCAACAGCAACTGTGGGGCCCCGCAGTTGCTGCTGCTGCGTTGGGCCCCACACTTGCTGCTGCCGCTTGGGGCCCCACACTTGCTGCTGCACTGTGCGGCTCCACACCTGCTGCTGCACTGTGGGGCCCCACACCTGCTGCTGCTGCATGGGGCCCCACATTTGCTTCAGAAGCGTGGGGCCCCACATTTGAAGCATAGGGAGTATAGGAAGCCCCCCGTTGCTTCTTTGTACATTTGCACTGAGGGGCGGGGGCCCCTAAAGAAGAGCAGCAGGAGGGGGGCCCCAGTGGGGAGAAGAGACTGCCTTGAATGAGGCAAATGCACTCGGAGGAGACAGTTGAAGGGGGGCCCCCTTTGAGCGCCCCCCCATTGTCTGCTGCAGCTGCTGCTGCTGCTGCCGCTGCTTGAGGAGACAGAACAACGCAGCATTTGCTTCTCAAGAAGAAGAAGAAACAACCGTTAGAGACAGCTGAGAAGGTTCGGCAAGAGGGGCCTCTGGCTGTCTCTGGGGGAGACAAAGGAGACACACGAGACAGAGGAGACACCGCAGCATCTGCGGGGCAGTGAGCAAAGTGAGTGGCGCGGATAGCAGCAGCAGAACAAACAATCAATGAAATAAAACCCCTCAAAGGAGACTCCTGCATAAAGGCAGAAGTGCATGCTGCTGCTGCTTCTGCTGCGAAAAGAGCGACAGGCGCCAGCTTATGCTGCTGCTGCTGCTGTTGTTGCTGCTGCTGTTGCTTCCGTTGTTGTTGTTTCTGCTGCTGTCTCTGCCTCTGCTGCTGCAGCTGCTGCACCTTGATGTTCTTTGAGGTGTCTCCTTTTGCTGTCTCCTCAGGCGCAGCAGCAACTGCATGCGCCTGCATGTTGCTGCGCTGCGTTGCTGCTGCACTGTTGAAGGCGCTGGAGAGACACTTGGATGTGGCGAGGGCCTCAAAGGAGACAGCAGCAACGAAGCAGCACCGGTCAAGGGAGACACAGAGGGACCGAGCGCCCGGAGGTGCTGCTGCTGCTGCAGGCTGCAGCTCCTGCAGCAAACTAAAGGAGACACTTGAAGACGCAACATGGGGACAGCTTGGCAGCAGCAGCAGGAGTGAGGCCGCAGTGAAGGAACCCCACAACCCCGCATACATCTTCTGCTGCCAAAAGAGCAGCAGAATCGATTGCGTTTAGCGCAGTGCAACTAATGGCTGGGACGGCTTGCATGCGGTGTTGCTGCTTCTGCTTCTGCTGTTGTTGTTGTTTCCCTTGCTGCTGCTGCTGTTGCTGTTGCTGCTGCTGCTGCTGACGTTGTCCGCGTTGCTGCCGGTGCTGAAGACCTGTGCCTGTCGCTGAGGGCCTGTACATTGCCAACTTGGGTGGATGCAGCAGCAGCTGTCGCCGCTGCTGCTGCTGCTGCAGTAGCTGCTGCTGCTGCTGTGGCGCTTTGCCCAATGAGAGGAAGCAGCTGCTGCTCTGTTGAGGCTGCATGTCTGGAAGAAGGGGAAACTTGACGAGGCGATGCAGCGGGGTGTCTCCTGAAGAGAGACAGCTGCCTGCAGCAGCACCTGCAGCAGCAGCAGCTGCTGCAGCACCTGCAGCAGCGGTACGTGCAGGACGAGGAGCAATGCCAAAGGCGTCGTAGCAGGGGACGCACGCCTCGTTCGAGTCTGCTGCTGCTTCCCCCGCTGCTGCTGCTGCTGCTGCTGCTTCGTTTGCTGCAGCGCATGCAAAGGAGGTAGTGTAGGAACCTTCATGTGGGTGCTGCTGCTCGGCAACGACATTAACGCTGCTGCTGCATAAAGATTGGGCCCCAAGAGACACCTGAGCCTCCTGCCACTGCAGCAGCAGCAGCCACCGCAGCACATCTGCACACAGTCTCCTCGAGTTAGGCCGCCCAGCAGGAGCAGCAGCAGCAGCTGCTGCTGCTGCTCTGTGCGCAGATGAAGGCTTCAAGCAGACGCTGGAGCAGCAGCCGCTGCAACAGCAAAGGCTACCGCTCCTGCTGCTGCTACTGCTGCTGCTGCTGCTTCCGCTGCAGCGGCAGCAGCAGCAAGTGTCTCCTTCGTACGCACCAGGATCTAAGGGGACCATCGCTACCTGCTTCTGCGGGTATACTAGGGAGGGCACCTGCGCCAGATGTGCAGCAGCAGCAGCAAATGAGTTCAGAGACACTGCAGCAACAGCAGCAGGCAAGTTGCTGCCGTCACGACTCGGTGATGCGAAACTCGTGGGGCTGCTGCTGCTGCTGCAGCAGCAACAGAAGCTGCTGCTACTGCTG